ATATAGATCAAGACAATTTTTAATAATTAGATGAATATCACATTGACATAAATATTGAGTCAACTAACTTCTAACAATTTTGAGTAGAAAATTTTTTAGGCTTTACAAAATAAGAAAAAATTAGTATATTAACAAATGTAATTTACTATTACAACATGGCAAATTAAAATTACAGAACGTTTAAAATAAAATGTATTTATATTTTATCGTAAATATAACTTTTGTAATTTATTTTTGAATTTTTACTAATTAAATTATGACATGTATTTTTTATTAAGAATCTAGAACACACAATTGTTGATATCAGAATAAAAACTCTCTTATGTGTAACTTTAATAAAAATAAATAAAATTTAATTGATTATAAATCATTTTACTACATATTTAGATAAATTTTATATTATTATTTAAATTTAAAAACTAATTTTTTATTATTTATTTATACTTGTGCATACCTAATATGCTAAGACAAAATGTGATAGTATGATTATGAGTTCTACAACAACAGCAATATTGCTCTTCCTCTTAGCAAAAGGATTTCAAATTTTGATTTCACAAACTTTGGGATTTTGTACAAATTAAGCATTCTAGGTGCCAGTTCCGAAGTCGTAAATGTCAGCCCCGCAATAAAGTTTCAAATTCCGGAATTACAATATTCAAACATTCAACAAAGTCTTATTTTCCTTTTTTATAGAAAGGAAAAAGTTAGGGATCATGAAATTTTTTTTCATGAAAATGATCATGAAAATTTTATGATCCTTGAATTACCTTGATTAGCGTGTGATACTTTATTCTAAGTGTAATTCAAGGATACAAAGCTTTTATAATTATTTTCATGAAAGGTTTTTCATTAAACCTACCATTGCTGTTGTTTTTATGTGTGGTACGGTGGTGGTCTTATGACGTTAGTGTCTGATGTTCGGAATGTATAATGACAATTTGATGCATTTATTTGTGTGTTGGTGATGTGTATTTTTGTGGCGATGTTTTTGTGCTCTTTGGTTGTGTAACGTTCAGGGGTGGTTATGTGACGGTACGTTCTGGAAATTTTAGTGTATGATGTTCGCCTTTTAGACTGACAGTTTTTATGAGTTTACGAGGGTCGTTCAGTGTCATCATAGTATGTGTGTAGTTTGGCGTTCATTTTCTTGGTGATGTTCTTGGTGATGATTAGTTGTTCCTTGTTTTAATTTTTTTTTTATGTGTGGTGGTTATGTAACGTTATGGTCTGGATATGTTTGGTACATAGAATGACAGTTTTCATGAGCTTACGAGTGTCGTTTAGTGTCATCATTAGTGTTTCTGTTAATCGGTTAAGTGACTGCGTTGTTTTCATTTTTTGTGTGGCAGGTATGGATGTTTCAATTTTGTTCTTGTGTACTTGTGAGCAAACCAATGCTGTTGTTCGGCTTCATATGGTGTTGACATTTGCACAATTGGTTAATGTTATATGTGGGAAGTTTGATGGATTGGTACCTAGGTTGGTGTATATGTTGATTGCCACGTAACGCTTCTACCAACATAAAAGCGTTGCAACGTCTTTCTCATCGCATCGGTACTGCCATGTAACACTTCTACCAGCATATCACCAATTGCTTTAGAAGAGATCCGGCCTATGATTGGGCAACAGCGTTGTCTGAGTCCCCTTACGACAAGTCCAGCTTATCTTTGCCACATCTGACCCCGAATATGAGGCAGATGTCACCATTTCTCAGCAGTAGGCCTACTCCCCCAACGTAAATTTTTTCATCAACCGGGTTGTACGTCTGAATGATTCAATAGACCGTTTCATCACATTTCTTGAATGAGTTTGGCAGTAATTCGTGTATAAGAATGGCATCAATCATCAGCCAGAAGGGCGTCTTCTGCAGTTGTCGGATGTGCCCATTACCTAATTTCAATCCAGACATGGTTTTGATGACCCCGCCAACATTTGAACGATACATAAGCTTCACCGAATCAACAATCGGTTTCTTTCCACTGCATTTCCTAGTTTTGTCTTTTTGAATGGCAGCTTGCTTTGCCTTTTGGCCACCAATTTCGTTGACGTAGAAACCAACACCCCTGGATATCTTGTTTTGCCACTTGACCTTCTTACGGGGGTATGTCGTCGCGCACTACCTGAAACAATATGCACAATCGGTCAGTAATGCATTTAATCAAAACGTTGCCACAATTCAAACACATAAACACACATTGAATTCAAATGCTTCGCATGTTAAAAGACAAACTATTGTGTTTGCTGAAATAAAATTCCCCTGATATGATGTTAGATTATGATGCCCAAAAAGGAAAGAAAAACAGTAACGATGCCACGTAGAATGGTCAGCAACAACAACGAATATGGGGTTACAATCACGAATATGGGGTTACAATGTTATTCATATACAAATTTGGTTTTGGTAAATTGTATTAAGTGTTACATTAAATTAATATTATCAACCAACCACAACAACGTCTCATTTTGGGAGAGAGAAACATTATGAAGTTGTGTTCACATTGTCAAGCCAATCACGCCGGCTCAGTCACACGACGATGCCACCATACCCTCGTCCACAACAACACTTTTGCGGTACCCAATTTACAAATCCCCACAAAACTTACGTCGTAATCAATTGTTCAGTGAATTTTACAATGTTACCTTAAAAATCAACAAAGTAAGCTAGGTAACACTCAAATGTGTCCAATCCCGAATAACTATTTCTCAACAAGATGTTGATTGAGGAATAAACATTAGGAACTGAACACCATGCACATCAAATTGCCATAGTGCAAGTTGTCTTAATTATAATGTGTCCCAATGTTCATTTTCATCCCTGGTGGTATGTTAAAATTTGGAACACTATTGACATTGCATAATCTGATGAAATATTAACACAATAAACACATAACCACACATTTATAAGCCAAAAAAATGACATAAATTAATACGGAACCAAACATTTTTACGAGCAAAATCTTTTGTGCATAACCGCCATACTAACACGTCACCCAACTTTGTGGCCGGAGTTTCGATATTAATACCCAACCTATGGGTTAACAATACGAACCCCCAAACAGGGTAACCAAAACCTATTACCACATTGACCACAACAAGGTATCCAAAATGTCATGTGCCACAACAAAACAACGCCAACCATATATGACCCAAATTCTAACATTCAAGCCCACAACATTTTAACCAAAAACTCATGAATCATACAATTGCATTTCGCTATGAGGACAACGCATTAATTATGGCCGTTTACGCTTTTATGAGGATATTTTTTATTCTGAACATACACAAAGATGTTTCGAAAATCACGAAACACTTTTAGCATTGCACGATTCTATGAAAGTGCAATGAGAAAATCAAAACAGAACCCCCAAAAAAGGCAACCATAACCTATTATCACATTGACCGCAATAGGGTATCCAAATAGTTATGCATCACATTAGCAACAACACGATGCCAATCATAGATGACCCAAATTCGAAATAATGTTCAATCCCACATCATTTCTAACCAAACACACATGAATCATAACATCACATTCCACATTTAACAAACCCAGATGCATCATAACATTACATTCCCCATTTATGTCAACATCAAACATTAAAATCCACATTATACTACACAACATAGAACATTCTACAAAACAAACATGAATCACAACATTATACTCCAAACTACACTAAAAAAAACACCAAACATTACATAACTTCCCGTCCCATTGTCATCAATTTCCAACACCGACACCGAATGCAACTGGTTGGCGATGTAGGGTTTTGAATTCCCAACTTAGATCGTGAAATAAATGGCTACGAGCGACAATTGCACGTTGCTCTAAACGTCAGCACTGATTTTTCAGCGCGGTTCGAATTAGTGTTCCAGTTGGTCTGAAAATGTAGGGTTTCCAATTGTGATTTCCTTCATCAATCTTCCAATGTGGAATTGGCAATTTGGGTTGGAAAATCCTCGAATCAAATCACGTTTGAACTGAATCAAAAAGGTAAATGAGCAATGTTAGTGTGTTTTTGGGAACTTTTCCATGTTTCGTCATATAGGTTTTGTCCGTGAAGGAGGAAAATGCAAGAAGTCTGTAGTACGGATTGCCCAAACGTGACTTTCACCACACAACCCACATTGCTTTCATTCATACAAAACAAATGAACTGGTTATTTGTTGCCCTTTTCCGTAATTTCACTTGTGTTTGGGACTTCTAGGTTCATAAGATCAAATGAATGATCAAACAAAATGAATGATCAAACAGTTTACAAGATCACAAAATATGATTTATTGGTGTTTTATCCATTTAAAAACTCAAAACCAAACAAATATATTTTTGGTGACAATGGAGGCAATTTTCCATATTTTAGTCATTATATAACGATAATGGTCATAGTGATTGTCAATGGTCACAGTGATGGTGGGATGCGGATGAGTAGGTAGAAAATGAACATCTTCCAGCTTTGACTCAACCTAAAAATATAAAATAGCCACCATGAGAGTCGGATTACAATTCTGTAGCGATTGATGACAAAGAAGAACTAAAATCAGCATTAGGAGCGGCATGAACATGAATAGCCCTACCACCACCAAAGGCAGCTCAATTTGACTGACTATACCAAACTGCGACTCACCTGCTTCTATCTAAGCTACCATTTAAATCCGACACAATTTATATAGAGAAATGTTTTTTTCCCGGAATTCTCGCGCCCCGAATGCCCCTAATGCCCAAAACGACGTCGTTTTGGGCATTATTTTTTATTTATTTTATTTTTTTCTTCTTCTTCTTCCATTTTCAGTCTGAACCAGAGAGGGAGAGGGAGAGCAAGAGAAGAGAGAAAGAGAGAGAGAGAGAGAGAGAGAGAGAGAGAGAGAGAGAAGAGAGGTCGCATGAACATGAATAGCCCTACCACCACCAAAGGCAGCTCAATTTGACTGACTATACCAAACTGCGACTCACCTGCTTCTATCTAAGCTACCATTTAAATCCGACACAATTTATATATCAATTTCAACTAACAAAATAAACTCTTTCTTCTAGAATTCCCCACATAAAAATTTCCATACAAATCCAACTGTACATTATTCAATTTTTTTTCGGCACATGGAGCCACATTTCAAACAAACAGAGGCGAGGCTATAAACAAAACAAAACAAAACAAAACAAAAAATAATAATAATAATAATATAGAAACATCATTCAAGAAATTCTAAGGACTCAATACCCAACTCCACAAATGCCACTTTGTTGTCATCTTTTCGGATTCTCTTATATCCATCCTTCACAAACACTTCTGTGTGCTTGATCTGGGGCATCTCACTTAGGCCACCCACGAGATAATTGAACTCGAAGCAGCTCTCTACAAGTATAAATGCTCTAGCTGTTCGTATCTGGCCCTATATAAGGAAGCAAAAACAAAGCTAACTACGTCATTACTGTTTGTTTGTTGCTATCTTGCTGCCATTTGAGATCAATGGTTCCGTCTTTTTCTTCCCTCATGAGAAACTTGTCAACTTGTGAAGCAGCTTGCCGACCTTCTGAGATGGCCCAAACTACCAGAGACTGGCCACGCCGACAATCCCCCGCTGCAAACACACCTTCCACATTGGTTGAGAAGCGGCCATAGTCTGCCTTGAAGTTTGATCTATTGTCTCTCTCCAAGCCCAGTTTCTCTGGTAGTGTCTGAAGAATTGAGCATCACAAAAATAGTAGAATATCAGTTTGCATAGAATTCTATCATAAACATGTATATGAATGTGAATATTGGTGATGTATTGAGAAGGAATAGATTCATTTTCATGGAGCATCCAAAGTAAATTTTGTTTTCTAAATCTATTTTTTGAAAACACTAAAACTAATTTGATAAAAAAAAATAATGAAAATTTTAAAAGCACTTGCCTTTTTCATATTATTCTCTCTCTCTCTCTCTCTCTCTCTCTCTCTCTATCTCTTTTTTAGGTGCAAAAATAGTTTTTGAAAATTCAAAAGCATCTTTTTGGGATTCTAAAAACAAAACCAAACATATTTGAATCAGGCTTTTGGAAGAAGTCGAAAAGACCATTTGGGGGTTAAGGAAAAAATTTAGGTGAACATTATTTAAAAAAATGACAAAATTACCATTAATTTTCATTATTGCATAAGTTCAATTTTGTAAAGGAACCAAGACAATATATATCAATGACTGGAACTAAATTTAACTTGCGCTATTCTGACCAATAGTTTAGATTTTCCAAGTTGTAAGAGAAACTATCCTAGTTGTCCAGCTCACTTCCAACAATTACTCTTGATCAGAAACTGAACATGGTTATTGGTTCAACATAGAGAAATTAAACTAGAGTCATAGATGAGAATACTAACCGACTCAGGACCAAGGAAGCCCATAGCCAGTAGGACCAGGTCTGCCTCAATCATCTCCTCACTGCCTTCAATTTCCTTAAATTGGAACTTGCCACCAGCATCCTTCTCCCATTTGACACGTACCACCTCAAGTCCTTTCACATTCCCATTTTCATCTCCCACAAACCGCTTAGTCAATACCTCATAAGACCTTGGGTCTTTGCCAAACTTGGAAGCAGCTTCCTGGTGCCCATAATCTACACGGAATATGCGAGGCCACTGCAAAACAAGAAATTTGAAAGGAATAAATCATTGAATGACTACAAGAAGTCATCAAATGGGATGAGATTTTCACAATTTTTGCATTTCTTAAATTACACAACATGTATTCCAAAATATCCACCAATTAAAACAACCTGCATCATAGATTATTTTCTAAAATCTTAGGCACTCTTATTATGACATGTTGCTTTTACTTGCGCCAATCAAAACATAATTGAATATTTACCATTTTTTAAACCATTTTGTTAATGGATTACCCATTCACATATATGTTCACTGTTTCATTGGGGTGGTACCAAATGACCCTGCCTAGGCCGAGTTCTTGGTCATAATAATAATAATAAAATAAAATAAACATCTACATTTTGCTTGATTTCAGTTGTCATATTATGCAGTCTACAAACCTGAGGCCAAGGGTTGCCTGGAGCCCTGGTTAGAGGCGGCTCAGGGAGAAGCTCCAAATTTACAATGCTACTGCAACCATGGCGGATAGATGTTCCTATGCAATCTGTACCAGTGTCACCTCCACCAATTACCACTACCTTCTTACCCTTGGCAGATATGTATTTACCATCCTCGAGATTGCTATCAAGCAAACTTTTGGTATTTGCGTGAAGAAACTCCATAGCAAAATGGACCCCTGATAGCTCCCGTCCAGGTACAGGTAGGTCCCTGTAACCAATATTTTGTTCACAATTTGTTACAATGTTCTAAAGAAAACTGTAATGAGATTTTTTATTCATAAATAAATTAAAAGACAAACATACCTTGGTTTTGTGGCACCTACAGCTAAAACAATTGCATCGTTTTCCTTTTGAAGCCAATCTAGGCAATACAAGGGATCTTTTCCAACATTGGCATTAACCACAAAATTGATTCCCTCCTTTGCCATAAGGTCAACCCGTCGTTGAACTATATCAACTTTATCAGCCTTCATGTTAGGAACTCCGTACATCATAAGGCCCCCAATACGATCGGCACGCTCAAACACAGTCACGAAATGACCCATTCTATTCAACTGATCAGCAGCAGCCAAGCCAGCAGGTCCACTCCCAACTACAGCAACTCTTTTCCTGTAAAAGCAAGGATATTTAGAATCTATTTTCCCGGTAAGTTAAACAGAAATAACGATCTGCTCAGAAAGTATGGAAGAGCTAAGAAGCATACCCGGTCCTTCTGAGGGGAGGTCGTGGAACCATCCATCCTTCCTCAAAAGCTTTATCTATGATAGAGCATTCAATGCTTTTTATAGATACAGGATTTTCAATAATACCAAGAACGCAAGAACCCTCACAAGGTGCAGGGCACACCCGACCAGTAAACTCTGGGAAGTTATTAGTCTCTAGAAGCCGATCTAATGCTTCACGCCATCTATTTTGGTACACTAACTCGTTGAATTCAGGTATTTTATTGCCCAGAGGACATCCCGAATTCTCCTACAATTTAGTCAAAAGAGAAATTAAGGCTAAAACTGAAATAATTGGGCAGAAGCTTAAGAAATTTTGAAATGAGAAGTAAGAGAGAGCAATTATCTCACCTGATGGCAGAAAGGAGTACCACAGTCCATACAGCGAGCAGATTGTGTCTTTAGAAGTGCGCTGGGCTTGGCTTTTTCCATGACCTCATTCCAATCATTCATCCGAACATTGGGATCCCTGTACGAGATGCTTTCACGCTCATAAACAATAAATCCCCTATTTTTTATAGCATCTGGAACTCGAGATGGCCTTTTCAACAGTTCAGCCTCTTCAACTTTCTGCAGATTCCAGTCAAAACCAAATGTCAAGTCTAGTTCAAGCATTTACTAATAATAATAAAAAAAATGCTCACCTGGAATTTCTTTCAAATTATATCCATTTTTTTTATGACAACGACCTCAAATCTCATCAATCATTAAAATCATACAATACTACAAGTATAGAAGAAGGATTCAGAGAAAGATTAATAAATGAACAAATCAATGGACCTCATTGCCTTTCTCATTCAAGGACAAAGCTGCCAACTTCTTAAGCTCTTCAAAAGCATCTTTCTCCATCACTTCTCCGTCTTCTTGCTCATCAGCTTCTTCAGCAGCCCCTGCTGCCTTTGAAATTTCCCCTTCTTTTTTTCTTGCAAGAATCCGCTTATAATCCCTAGGGAAGACCTTAACAAATTTGGGCAAAAGATTATCAAAATCAGCAAGCACTTCCTTGGCTAGTTGGCTGTTTGTGTGACGCTGATGTTGCTGTATCATCATTCTCAGTGTCATAATATCCTCTTCTTCTTCAACTCTATCAAGATCTACCAGCTCATGATTGCATCGCAAATGAAACTTGGCGTCCACATCAAGAACATACGCAATGCCACCACTCATGCCAGCAGCAAAATTCCTCCCAGTTTTTCCAAGCACAACAACAGTCCCACCAGTCATGTACTCGCATCCATGATCACCAACACCTTCTACAACTGCTTTAACCCCAGAATTACGGACACAAAATCTTTCTGCTGCCATTCCATTAAAATATGCCTCCCCAACAGTTGCTCCATAGAGAGCCACGTTACCGATCACAATGTTTTCCTTTGGATCAAATCTGCTTCCTTTTGGAGGATAAACAACAATCTTGCCACCTGATAGTCCTTTACCAACGTAGTCATTGCTATCACCTTCAAGCTCCAGTGTGATGCCAGGGCAGAGAAAAGCACCAAGGCTCTGGCCCGCACTTCCATGGAGCTTGATATGGATGGTATCAGCTGGAAGTCCCACCATGTGATAACGCTTTGTCACTTCATGGCTAAGCATTGTTCCAACGGCACGATTTATATTGCAAATTGGTGTTTCGATGTACACAGGAAGACCTTTTTCTAAAGCAGCTTTGGACAGAGTTATAAGTTCATTATCCAAAGCCATGTCCAAACCATGATCTTGTTTCTGTACACAATACTGGGCAGCTTCTGGCCGGATGTCAGCAGCAGGCCTGAGTAATAGGGAGAGATCAATATTATTTAGCTTTTCATTGGTCTTTGTCACTTCTTTATCCAGTTCGAGCATATCTGATCGACCAACCATTTCATTGATTGTCCGAAACCCAAGCTGAGACATGATTTCTCTAACCTCCTCTGCCAGCATGAAGAAAAAGTTTATCACATGTTCAGGTTCTCCAGCAAACTTCTCTCGAAGCACTGGATCTTGGGTAGCAATGCCAACTGGACAAGTGTTTTTGTGGCACTTCCGCATCATGATGCATCCGAGCGTAATGAGTGGAGCTGTGCTGAAACCAAACTCCTCTGCACCAAGTAGTGCAGCAATGGCCACATCTCTGCCAGTTTTCAGTTGGCCATCTGTCTGGAGAACTGTTCGGCCACGAAGGTCATTAGCAACTAGAGTTTGATGAGTTTCGGCAAGACCAAGTTCCCATGGGAGGCCAGCACTCTTGATGCCAGTCCATCGGGAGGCACCTGTACCTCCATCATGACCAGAGATCAAGACATGATCAGCATGACCCTTCACAACCCCACTAGCAATTACTCCCACACCAGCTTCAGACACCAACTTCACACTAATTCGAGCCCCTGGATTGGCATTCTACAAATTATGGATAAAGAAGTCAGGTATACTATACTATGCAACTGACAATATTGGAGCACGCATAGAAGCTGCTTATAAGGCACGCAATGAGATAAAAATCATCATGCACTCCATAGAAATTTGTAGAAGCATCAATGCATGTACTTACCTTAAGATCGTGAATCAATTGAGCCAGATCTTCAATTGAATAAATATCATGATGTGGAGGTGGGCTGATTAGTCCCACCCCAGCAGTAGAATTCCTAGTGACAGCAATGTCTCCAATAACCTTGTGGCCAGGAAGTTCACCACCTTCACCAGGCTTGGCCCCCTGAGCATTATGGAAGTCAAAAATTAATAATAAATCCAATGAACAAAGGATAAACAAGTTCAGTTCATATCCTCACCAAATGCCAAAGGTAGGTATCAGTTAAAGATGCAAAGACACACAGAGGTGCTTCGCAGACACAGCATCATCTGTCCATGAACATAAATTCATAAACAAGAGGAACCTCTATTCCAATAGGAATACAGGGGCTAACAGGGATGGATGAACAATAACAACAGAAACATAAACCAAGAAAGAAAATTTGAAGTTCAAATGTATGTCATCAAAATATACCTGAGCCATTTTTATCTGTAGCTCATCAGCATTAGTAAGGTAATAACTTGAAACACCGAATCTTCCACTTGCAACCTGCTTAATTGCACTCCTTTTTGGATTCCTTGAACCATCTGGAAGAGGTTCCATACGGGATGGGTTCTCACCTCCCTCACCTAGAAAGAAGTCGCATAAAGTAAGTTCAAGGAAAGAAGCATGTGAAAAAGCTAATACCCTTGAGAAGCAACTTAAGTTGGCGCTAATAGAAGGAAAGTTACAAAAAAAACTGACAATTTTATGGATAAACAAGGTTACAAAACTAAATGAAGAAGTGAACAAATAAATGGATATTGTAGGAGCATTCAAGGAGGGGGGGAAATGCAAAACAATGAGTTCAAAAAGCACGCTCCATGGGAGTTGAATAATTATTTTTATCAAAATAACTTTTTGACATTAAAAATTAAAAAAGAAAAGTCATCAATAACAGAAGAATGATTATTCTATGCTTTCCACAAGTTAAGCAACATAAAGGACGACAACATGATGTACACCTGAACCAAACACCACCAAATTCTTCCCAAACATTCAGACTATTCAACACTGATAGAACATGCTCAGATTACATTACTTCACACAAATAACTATGGGAGAATCTTATTAAGGGCATACCTGTGTTTGACTTTCCCCCAATTGTGTTCATAGCAATGGCAAGGGTGGTGTGTGCCTCCAAGGATATTGATCCATAACTCATGGCCCCAGTACAAAACCGTTTTACAATCTCACTGGCTGGTTCCACTTCATCTAGAGGAACCTTCACGTCTGCCTCTTTAAATTTTAATAGTCCCCGCAAATTGCAGTTTTTATTTAACTCATGTATGCGCTTTGAGTATTCTTTATAGGCAGCAACACTATTCCCTCTGGTAGCCTCTTGCAGCTTAGCTATAGCAAGGGGGTCGTTCAGGTGGACCTCGCCACCTTTCCTCCAGTGATAATCACCAGGATTGGGCAATGATATAGCCTCTGCACTTCCAGGAGGGAAGCCCCGTGTAGGAAATGCCAGCTCATGCAACTGAAGGGCATCACTGGCAAGCACTTCAAATGTTGACCCCTCAACTCTGCTCGGAGTTCCAGCAAAGCACCTCTCCATCACTTCGGATGAAAGGCCCACTGCTTCAAAAATCTGAGCACCCTTGTACGAGGCCAAAGTAGATATCCCCATCTTGGCAAGAACCTTCATCATTCCATAGTGGCTTGCTTTGAAGTACTTTTTGACAAGCTCATCTTTTGAGTGGAACTCACCACTTGCTTTGGGTGGAATCTTTCCATCAACCTGCAGTCTCCAAATGGCATCTATGGCCAAATAAGGGCATATAGCATCGGCACCAAATCCAACCAGTGTACAAAAATGGTGCACTTCGCGAGGCTCAGCAGATTCAACAACTAACCCAATTTGAGTCCTTTCAAGATTTTTAACTAGATGATGATGGACAGCACCAACAGCCAAAAGGGAGCTTACAGCAACACGCTTTGATGAAAATGCTACACAATTAAACAAATTACAAATATGTTATTTCATATAATAATAACATAATTTTTATTAAAGAATAAAGAACATTCAGAAATATATATTTTTCAGGAACAACACTAGTTTAAGATATGTAGTACCTCTGTCAGAAAGCACCAGTGTCGTATAACCTTCGTTAATTGCATCATGCGCTTCAGAACAGATCCTATCCAGGGTCTCCTCCAAACCCTTCCTACCACGGTCCTTAGAATATGTTATATCAAGAATTTTGCTGCGCCAGCCTCTATAGTTCATCTTTTTAATTGCTTCCATTTGTTCAATGGATAAAAGGGGACCTTTCAGTGAGAGGCGATGACATTGTTCTTCAGTGGTCTCAGTAAGATCACCTTCTGGACCAATCATGCACTCCATGGACGTGACTATCTTCTCCCGGATAGGATCAATAGGAGGGTTTGTAACCTGAGCAAACATCTGCTTGAAATACTCAAATGTGAGTTTCTCTCTGTTTGACATCACAGCCAATGGAGCATCGTTTCCCATTGAACCAAGGGCCTCAATACCATCCTTTGCCATTGGTAGTAGTAGCATCTCCAAGGATTCAACAGTGTAACTGCACAAGAGGCCAGTATTTGAATTTACTTCTCTGCAGAATTGCAACAGTCAAAAGAACTTAAAGTGCAAGAGCAGGCAAAAGAGATAAATACCCAAAAGCCTTTAATGGAGCCAACAATCCATGAATGCCCATATTTTCCATGTTGTCATCATCATTAGATGCCTGGTTACATAACATAAATACAATCCACATTCAGAACTGCCATGAAGAGGGGCAGGACAAAAAAGGACTGCAACCTCAATGTGCGGAAAGAAGAATAAGCATAATAATTAGAAACTATACTCACTGGCACAACTCCTGCTATAGCTGGAGGAACCCTTTCAGATTCACTAACAGATTCTATTATGTCTCTTAGCTCTATCTTTTGTCTTTGAAGCCACTCTCCATAAGGTCTTGCAAGCGAATACTGTTGCTTCAGTTCTTCATCATCTACAACGACATGCTTATCAAAATCCACGAGAAGCATCATGCCAGGATTAAGTCTTCCTTTCCTACACACATCCTCAGGTGGAATATCAACTACACCAACTTCGCTTGCCATTATAACTCGTCCACTGTGTGTGACATAAAATCGACCTGGACGTAATCCATTTCGGTCCAGTGTAGCTCCAAGATAGCGACCATCAGTAACTGCATATTGCTTTTGGTAAGCACAAACCAAATGCTGCAAGGAAGTAAGACAATGTGAAATCAAAGAGTTTGTAGAACTCTTACATGATATCAGAGCAGGCCCATCCCATGGTTCCATGAGGGCTGAAAAGTATTCATAAAAGGCTTTCCGATGAGGATCCATATTCTTATCATTCTGCCAGGCTTCAGGAATCATCATCATGATCGCTTCAGGAAGACTTCTACCAGCTCGAACTAAAAGCTCAAGAACACCATCGAAAGCACCTAAGAGAAAAGAGAAATTCAGATATAAGGTAATTAATGAAGGCTCAAGCACGAGAAGTGGCACTATTTCTCCTCCTTACACTGGCAATTTAAGTGTCTGCATGCTGCTTATGAATATTTTTGCACCACTATTCAAATTAAGCGGGATGCATGTGTATATGGATGTATGGTAGCACACAAAAACATAAGAGTTAGATTAGAATCAAACCTGAGTCAGATGAACTGGCATCTACAATGGGTAGAAGCTTCTTCATCTCATCCTTTGACAGACCAAGCTCCTTGCACTTCAGAAGACCCTCACGTGCCGTCATCCTATTTGTTAAGGTGTGAAGGTTATTATTAGAAGTATTCAAGTTCCACTAACAATGGCATCAAAATCTCCATTATTCAGGAACAATTAATCCACTACTTGCTTGACAACTTACCAATTTACGTTGCCCCGAAGTGTGTTAATTTCCCCATTATGGCCTAAGACACGCATAGGCTGAGCACGATCCCAGCTAGGAAATGTGTTTGTTGAGAATCTCGAGTGTATCTGCAGGAAAAAAGAGATGCAAAACTTTCAACCCCAATTTCCTACACATTATTGACGATATGGGATTTAACTTTACTAGTGTAAGCATGAAATTGTGTTCAGGGCACTTCAGTAAACAATATACCGCAGCGCCAGTACATGAAAACATGGAAAACCTAAACTACCATTGACCAAACACAATTTCTTTTCCACCACTAAAATGGAAGTTATCCTCAACTGATCATAGAGAACACTGCACCAAGTTTCTGCAAACACGATTTACTTGATAATGAGGTTCCTTACCAACTCACCAAAAGAATCCAATCCGGCATCCAAATTCAAACAGTAATCAAGGGAGTGGAAGAACTTAAGAGATCATTCATACTTCAATGCCTCAGAAGTCATTCCTCAACCTTGCATCCCTTGGTTGATCCCATGCTGTTCGTTGTTGAAGTATGGAGTCAGTGAACAAAGAAGAAAAGTGAATGAAATATATATTTACCAGGGCCATGTAGCTCGTAAACCTTTCATTGCCAAGATCTGCATAATAGTATTCCTTCAATTGGTCGGGCTTTAACTGACCTTTGTAGACGACAGTCCTGAAACAACACCAGAACAAGTCTTATAATCAGGCTGCAGAGTAGCATTCAACCAAGATTTTATACTTTCTTTGAAAGAAAAAGGCTTACTGAAAAACAAACCTTGATGAGAGAGAACAAATATAGAAGTCTTTAACTCCGCCATGTTGAAGGCTCAAAGCAGCTCGGATTGCTACCATTGAAAGCCTCCTTAATATATATAACTGCAACAAAATAAAAGGAAAAAAGGCAGACTTCCATAAAATTGCTGTATTCATGGACTAAAAGTTTATTTTATTATTACTATTATTTTTTAAATAAAAGGAGGAGAGAGAGAGAGAGAGAGAGAGAGAGTATAATAAGGCTAATTCTCAAAGTCCTGCACCCAAGTTGATCAAGCAAATTAACTGCACTACAACAGATCAGATACTGTGACGTACAAAGCTATAGAGCATAGAAAAGCAGGTTGCACAAGAAGTGTACAAGTCGAATGAACTGAATTTTTATTGAAATTTAATTTTCTTTTAGAAGGGGCTCATAAATGTTCTGCAGTACCGCTTTAAAATTTTAATGAATTTGAAAGGGAAAAAAAAATTGTATTGAGAAGCAATTAGAACTTGTGATGTGTCAATGAATTTGAAAGGGGGGGAAAAAATTGTATTAGAAGCAATTAGAACTTGTGATGCGTCAATTTGTGTCGATGCTATGACATGTTTGTGTCGATGCTATGACATATCATTTAATTAGGCTCATCCACTGATGCATCTTGATTCTTATAAAGCCAACTGATGTTTCTTTCTTGTAACACTGGACCATAAACCTTAAATTGACCTCCAAAAGACACTAAATTTCCTAGTTTTGCCCCTAAAGATAAATGGATTAGCTTTATGTTGACCTCCAAAAGACACGGAATTTCCCAGTTTTGCCCCTAAAGATAAATGGATTATAGCTAAATAGAAATAGACTAGTACCTGTTGCTCGAAATTAGCTTTTGACCTGGGATTTGGTGTAAGAAACACTTGTTCAATAACAGGTTCTGTTTGCAAAGCAGAATTACCCAATCCAGAGTTATCTGTTGGGACAGAACGCCAGCCAAGAACAGTATGCCCAAGTGATTCCGCAACCTAGAAATACAATCATGAATTTTCTTAGGAGACAATACATTGCCAAGAACAACAAAACATACAAGTCCAGGATAAGAAACCAAAATTCACTTCAGCAATTACATATGCACTTCATTTACACATTCAAGTGAAGAGAAGAGAAAGTAATATAAACTGAACAAGTTTTGATCTTAAATTTACCTTTGTAAATACGTTTTTGCTATGTGCCCTTCGTTTTTCAGCTGTGGGCAAGAAGAACATTCCCACAGCGTATTCCCCTGGCTGTGGTAGCTCAAAACCTTCATCTTTGGCGACCTGACACAAGATAACCAAATAAAATCAATAGAATTAAGCCTGGAATCATAATTATTACAATTAAAAAAAAAAAAAAATCATACCTCATTCCATAACATCTCCAATCTTTCACCTATTCATTCGTTTAATTCAAAGTTGATGAATAAAGGCAAGTGAGCCCCAATCATTTCATCAAAATTGTTTCAAATCAACAGAGACACAATTTTCACCAAATCAAAGTTGAATCAAATTTCTAATAGTCATATTTTTAGTCAAATTTGATGAAAATTTCAAAAACAGTAAGAATTGGAAATGATTTTCTTTCATAAAAATTTGTTAATCAAGTTTATAATTATTTTTTTTTTTTTTTGAAAAATTAATTTTTTTGAAAAAAAAAATTGATAAAAAAATAATAAAAAACTAAGAATTTGATCCGAACCCGATCAAGCTTTTAAATCTACACTCAAATTTTATTCATAATAATAATAATAATAACAAGAAGAATAAAAAAGTACGGAATTGGAGATAATCTAACTATTATGTTCTGAAATGAGGTATGAAAATCACCAAAACTATAAATGAAAAGAAAAGCTAATGAATCGTTTAAAAATAAAAAAAGTAGATATTAAAAGATTGATGTATATTATCATACGTACCTCCCTGTAGAACTCGTGAGGAAGAGCGACGAGAATGCCAGCTCCATCACCAGTGTTCGTCTCACAACCACAAGCACCTCTGTGTGACATCCGCACCAACATCTCCACCGCATCTGTCACCTGTAAATCAAACCAAACCAAAAACACTCAAAAAAAAAAAAAACCTTCTTTTTCTTGCTTATATCTGTCTATGTATCTATCTGATCTAATGCATACCGTTTTTCGACTGCTTTCTCCGGATAATTCAGCGACGAATCCAACCCCGCACGAATCCTTATCAAACGATGGATCGTAGAGACCGAGAGGCTTTTCGGGCACTTGCGACAATGCCGATCGCACCACCACTCTTGGATTCGATTGCCGAACATTAAGTCTTTCACTACCAGATGTTTGTAGTCGTGTTCCATAGAATTTATTCTGCAAAACAACTTTCGATCTTCTAGCAAGAGAAGAGGAAGAAGAGGCAAGAGAGTATGCTCTGGATACACCAACTCGACTGAGAGGCACAATATTCAACTGATGATTCACAGGCTTAACGAAAGAAAGTGTCACTGAGTTGTTTGGAGTATGATTAATAGCAGAAGTCGAACCTACCGACATTATCGAAAATCCAAATCTGGCTTTTCTTCGGATCTATGAACGATTTCCGGAGGTCTTTGGATTTTACCAAACTCAGCAAGAAGATTGGTGAAAAAGGTGTCGTTGAATTGATGATCTGAGAAGTAGGGATCGAGATTGAGAAGTTGTTATAAGAAGATTAACATGAATGATACAATTTTTATATTTATATATTTATTTATAAATCAATAATAATTAGGAAGAAGAGTTGCAATCTACTGGGAATTCTACGAGAATCGGGATAGATAAGTAAGAAACGTAATACACGGGAATTTTAATTGGAGAAGGAATAGATGAAGAAAAAGAGAGAGGAGGGCAGGCACAAAGAGCAATGAGAGACCGACAAATAGGACGGAGGGAGGGTGCAGCTATTTTCTGTTAATCTCTCCTCGGCGATGAAGGAACGGTAGTTGGTGTCCTCCATATATAAAGGGCAAGTCCGGCCCAATTGCATTTTTCACTTTTACTACTCATTTTATCAAAAATAAATAAATAAATAAATTATTAAGGCCAAGTTTGCTATTTTCAAAAAAATTTAAAAAGTCAAAAAATTATTATTCTATTTAAGTCACATCATCTTATTTAAGTCACATCACCTCTCTATCACATTACTTCAAACCCAATCCATACCCAACCCATATTTCATAAAAGGTCAAAAAGTACACTTGTTTAGAACATCCTAAACAACCCCTAAATATTTTTAAGATATCACATGTCTATACTCTAATCAATTATCATTTATTATATCTTTTATATTTCTCAGTCACCCTAACACAATATCCATATATCTACTTTCTCTACTAATCACAATACTATGACGTATCACATGTCTATATTCTGAAATTACTAAATAATTACACAAAAAGAGTGAGATTGTTTGTAACAAAAAATAAAATATTTAAAAATTCAAAAACCATTTTTAAAAATTTAAAACCCAACAAAATGAATATATTGTGTTTAGTTATTTTATTTTAAATTTGTGTCAAAAAATTTACTAGGCTAGAATGATCAAAAAAGTGAAAAAAAAAAAAGATCAAAAAACTTAACTAAAGATATAAAAATATATATATGTTGATTTTTTTTTCTTTCATAAACTTTTTTTCTACATATATATATATATGGGTAATGCTAGGGACACCAAATTTTCTACCAAACAAATGACCAAATGTCTCACATGGGTGTGGGGTCCGCAATTTTGTGGACCCCACATCCATGTGAGACATTTGATCATTTATTTGGTAGAAAATTTGGGACCTCTAGCATTTTCCTATATATATATATATACATTTTTTTTAGTCAATTAAATAGAACTTAAAATGTAAATTTTTTTTAAATATTTAAAAAATTAAAAACAAAACTGACAAATACCGTATTAAAAAATCATAACTTTAAAAAAGTTAACTGTTTTGTCCGAAAAAAGATGAGCCCAATGACAGTTGACTTTTCTCAATACGTAATGTAAAAGTTTAAATACATTTTAATGTTTATTAATTTTTTGAGATAAATAAATTAAAGTTTGCCCCTTTCTTATTGGTTATTTTTTTTTCACTGCGACTCTTAAACTAGGGGTGTGCATAATACCGCCAAAACCGCCGAAACCGCCAAAACCGTACTGAACCGCACCGCCAAGGCAAATTCATTATTATTTGTCAATCGAACCGCCGATTTTTGGTAAGAAAAATGGCAAATTCTAGTGACATTTTTATCAACCCCCCCCCCGCCATACGGTTTCTATTTTTCTCTCAAACCGCACCGACCCGCACCGCGCACACCCCTATCTTAAACTTTACTCTTTTTATTTGTCCTTCATGTAAAATGTTTATTAATTTTTTGAGATAAATAAATTAAAGTTTGCCCCTTTTTTATTGGTTTTTTTTTTTCATTTCGACTCTTAAACTTTATTTTTTTTATTTAGTCCTTCATGTTCAAACTTTTTTCAATTTACTTTAAAAATTAATTTATATTTAAAATTTGACAGAAAATTATATATTGACAATCACTAGTATAAAAATATTTTATTATATAACTCACACTTCTAATATAAGCTCAAATTTTAATTTAATAATATACTTTTATATCATATACCAGTTAACATATCATAATCTATCTAATTTTGAAAAGAAGTAGTTTTAAGAATAAATTTAAAAAATTTTAAAATATGAAAAAATCAAAGTAAGAAAAATACAATAAAAAAGTAAAAAATAATCAAATATAAAAGTATCTAAGATTGGCTCAAAAAATAATCTAAAAATATAATAAAAAAATTAAGTAATCCAAAAATAATCTAAAAAAATTAATTTAATGTTATTTTTAGGATAAATTACTAATACACCCCTAAAGTTTACTTAAAGTACAGATTGTCCATGTGATTTGAAAAATTACAAATACCTCATTGTTAATATTTTTTATTTAACAGAATTAACTAAAAAAATAAAATTCATAATTACTCTCTTATATAATAATAAAATTACTTAAATTATTAATTGAAACATATTTCTAATATTATTAAAACTTTTAATTGACTTAATGATTTATTAATAAAATGAACGATTTGTTATGAAATTAAAAATTTAAAATATAATATAATTTTTAAAATTATAAAGAATGATTCATATTTTAATTAAATTTGAAGGTGAATTTGTAATTTACTCTTAGTTTTAATGTATTTCATAGAAATTGACTACAATGCTTCGACAATCTTAAACAAAAGTGAGTCGGGAGTTGGGGGGTGGGGACCACTAGCATGGGGCGGTTTAATCTTACCCAACGCAGTACCGAGTTCTGCATTATTTTCTTAATGATGTGACAGCTCGAATTTTTCTGGTCTGCGCCACGTGTGTCACCCTATGCGGCACGCGACAACCGCTCATGGTGGGTCCCACTTTTTTAATCTTTTAATGCTGGCCGTTTACTGCCCCTGGAGCTGCCCCGCAGCCTAGCCGCCTCTAGGCTCGGTTCCGAGCCTCCGCGGCTCGTTCCCTAAAAACTAACACCATTTGCTAGTCATTCTCAATTTTTTATTTTATTATTATTTTATGTGTGTGTTTTGAAAGAGTTGATTATTTTAATTTTTCATTATTTTAGTAAGCCTCCGTTTGAGCGGTGGATTAATTTTTTGACTTTTTGATTTTTTTTGTTATTTTAGTTTGGGTTAAAAAATTTAGTTTGGGAAGAATTTTTTGACTTTTTGACTTTTTTAACTTTTTTTTGTGAGAGAAGAATGTAATGATTATGGATTAGATGTGATATTTTATTTTTTGTGACTAAAATAGCCTATTTTATCTTTTGTGGCTAAAATAACCAAAAAAATCCCGTTTAACTCTTGCCAAACGGAACCTAAGTTAAATTAATTATGTTTAAAAAGAGAGTTAGATTTTTTTTTATAATTAAATATGATATTTGTAAGAGAAAAAGTAAAATAATTATGAATATAATGTAACATATTATTTTTTTGAATTATTTTAATATATTTTATTGTTTTAGTATTATTTTAGTCAAAAAAAAAAATCAAAACTTCCTCTTCTCAAACACCCCTATATGTTTCTTTATGTTTGATGTAAATTACAAATATACTCTCAAAATTTGTTTAAAATACGATTTATTCTTTATAATATTAAAAATTATATTTTGTCCTTCAAAACTTTTTTTATTAATAAATTACCAAGATAATTAGCAGTTTTTAATATTACATAAATTTATTTTAATTAATAATTCAAGTAATTTTATCATTGTATAAAAGAACAATTAAGAATTTTATTATTTAATTCTGTTAAATAAAAAATACTTACAAAAGAGTATTTATAATTTTTTAAATTACAAAAAACTATTCATATTTTAAACAAATTTTAAAAAATGTATTTATAACTTACCCTTATTTTCTTTTCTTTGATCGTTATTACCAATTCAAAGTTTATGCGAATATTACCTGCGCTTAAAATTTATGGTTGAAACAAGGTTTTTGGCTTTTAATTGAAATTATTGTAACACCATTGCAATATTACTTTTTATTATATTTTATGGGATTAAATATAATGAATTATTGGTAAGATTGTGAGAGAAAAAATTATATTTATGGGATTAGATTGAATAAAGATCAGATATATGATAAATTATGAAAGTTAAGATTATACCATAGGGTAATAAATATGCTAAATAATTGGATAGAATGAATGAAATATTATTACGTTTGATTAGGATGAAATAAAAAGATATAATTATTTTGTACTATTGGATGAACAAAAAAAAAAATCGACGAGGCCTCATTCTTGTATTACCACACTACCTATAATATTATTTAGGGGATTTTTTTTTTAGCACCCTTGATATTAAGATTTTATAACATAAAAGGATATCAAATATTTTTATAATGTCTAAGGTCCCTCAACATCGACCTAGAGAAAATTCAATCCAAAAAATTTTTCTAGACTTCCTAGAGAATTTCTCTCCACATAAATTCTGGGAAGGCTAGAGAAATTCTCTAGATTCCAGTCTAGAGATTTTCTCTAGATTTCTGGAAAAATTTCTCTGGTTTTCGCAAGAATTTTTATGGGTTCAACCAAAAAAAAGGCTCGAGATTGTGTGCTTGAAAGTCAAACAACGTGGGTTGTTGGTAGTGGAAGAGAGGTGGTAGAGGTTGTCAAGGAGGCGACTATGGGTGGTTGGAGATGGAGCCAAAACTGTGGTTCAAGAAATGAGAGATTGACTCGGTCTGTGAATCATACTCTTCATCTCCACCACTTGAAGATTGCATATTCCCACCGTTTCCAGAATCCATTTGCTACCAAAAAAGTGAAATGAAAGATGATATATTAAACAAATAAATAAATAAATAAATAAGGCCAAACCTGCTGAGACATGGTTGTAGTTCCAAAAAAAGAAGAGAATCTAAGAGAGAGCACAGAGAAAATTCGCACAGTGATCACAGCTAGAGAAAATTCACACAGTGATCACAGCTAGAGAAAATTCACAAAATTACAAACAATGATCACAACCAGAGAAAATTCACATAATTCCCACATCCAGAGAAAATTCAAATAGTCTAGAGAAAATTCAATCTGATTTGCTCACACTATATCGATATTTGTATATATGAACATATCTCAACCTCTCCTCCATTTCTTTTCAATTCCACCTTTTGTTTTCTTCTAGAAAATTTCCCCGCAAAGATATGTGGTTTGATTGATCTCAATATCGTCGATGACGACGACGACGACTCTCCTTCTCCTCCTCCTCCGCCGCCGTCACATCTAGAGAAAATTCACAAAATTACATGCAGAAAATTTCTCTGGATTCAAACCAGAGAAATTTGAAATTTCTTTGAGTTCAAACCAGAGAAATCCAGAGAAGATTGAAATTTCTCTGGTTTTAGACTAATTTTCTCTAATTTACTCACAATTTTCTTTGT